AATGAAAAAGTTCGGGGGGGGGGAGGATTGAAACTCTAGCGCCAAACCAAACCTAATAGTGTCCTTGACCCACGCATCAGAGGTGGAGCTGTCCCATTGATCAGCAAACAATTTTAGCCGCCTTCCAATGGGAACTGCTATCAAGGACTCACTTGGGGCGATGAAAAAATCGGCCCCCGGTGCCTCTGGAGTTTCTTCTGTTTTGGCCTCCCTGCTGACCTCTATCGGAAGATTCAGACCTATCCTGTCTAAAACTGGGCCTGTAGCCTGATGTTCTCTGAGATCTGGGAACGTATGGGCCTTGATAGTAGGGCCGAAAGGGACCCCTTCAAAACGACTGGGGCATTCTGTTTTCAGACCTCCAAAAAAGAGGGGGAAGCACTTTTTTCTTGTTTCTATTCTCTATAAGGAGGGGCTCCAAGACACTGCCAAATAATTTATCCCCCGATATTGGGGCTGATGCCAACTTGCATTTATGCTTGGTATCCACCTGCCAATGCCTGAGCCATAGCAGTCTCCGTGCTGATACGTGAGATGCTATGGCCCTAGACGAGAATTTGACTGCATTAAATGTGGCATCGGTGGAGAATTCTGCTGCTGCAATAATTTTAGCTATGTCCTGGTGGGCTCTGACATTTGATGCTGGCAATATATCCCTCAAGTGGAAGAGCCATCGTAGGGAGGACCGTGTAAAAAAGGACGCCACTGTAGCTGCCCTAATGGCCCAGGCGTCAGAAACGTGCGCCCTACGAAGTGCCAACTCTTCTCTCTTTTCTTCCGGTCTCAGGGCTTCCTCGGCCTCGTTGGGAAAGGTTGAAGAAGAGGCCAGTGCCACAATGGGCTCATCCACCTCCAGTGTTTTGAGAAAATTTGAAAACTCTGGTGCCAAATTATAATATCGTTTATCGTACCCTGTTTGGGCTGGGTATGATGCTGCTGATGCCCACTGATTTTGTACTAATTCAGCAAACATACGAGGGACAGGAATAGCTTCCGCCTCATTAGCCGGTTGTGAGAATATTAGATCCTCGGATTCATCCTGAGACCCTGTTGACAATGGATGAGGGTTTGATGTGCCTAGTTTAGCGGTGTTCTTTGCCTTGAACAGTAAGGATTTAAAGAGGTGTTGGCGAAAAAGGCCAGAAAAGGTAGGTTGGTCCGGAATGAGGCCTTCGTCGTCCGACATTCCCCGTTCTAGTGGGTCAGCCTCTGACAACCCCAAGTCCATCTGATGGATCGACCCCACCTCCATGGGAACATCCTGATCCTCAAATTCCACCTCCTCCCAAAGACCCTGGGTTGGTATGTTGGAATATTGGGGAATACCTGAGTTTGATGTTGTCCCATATGAGCAAAGGATCGAGCGGACAGGGATCCCGCATCCGAAGCAGCCAAGAAGTGTCTGGTCCTGATGGATTGCTGAACTCCAGCCGCAATGCCCCTTTGAATCGCCATCTCCATCCATTGCCTCATTTCGATGGGGATAGTCTCAGGTAATCCCTCCTCCTGTCTTAGGCCGGTGACCGTAGGGGTGAAGGTTGCCTCTGGGATTAGCCGGGCAGTGATCATTGGAGGAGATGTGCCTATGGGAGGTTGTCCAGAGACAGCCTGCCTGGGCTGGGTAGATAAGTCCAAGGGCCCCAACAATGGACTTGGGTCCTGATCAGATTGTTGTGTCATAGCCAGCTTGTCTGCCTCCCTGGCTCGTTTCTGCAATTGCCTTTCCAAAGCTAGGTGCCATCTATGGGCATCCTTATCCGCCACCTTAGAGGCCTTTTGGGGGCCCACTGGCTTATCTCGGGACTTATTTGTCTTGGAGCAGAAAGCGTTGTCACCTTCCATTGTGGATGACTGATTCTCTTGCCTCTGACTTTAATTTTTAATTATTATTTTTTAAAAATTATTATTATTATTATTATTATTATTATTATTATTATTATTATTAT